TCCGCCCCGAGGTCCGCCTATGGCCAAGCCACGCCCCGAGACCTCGCGACTTGGGATGGCGTCCTGGCAGCCGCGTCGGGCGAGGTCCGCCTCCGCGCCCCTGGGCTCCCGCTCTGCCCGCGGAGGTTCAGGCTCCCTTGGCGAGCCGCCTGGGCCTCCGCGCTCGACCCGCGCCCCCGCCCCGCGGGCGGCGGGCGGGCCTCGCGGCGCCGCCCCGCCCCCAGGCGGCGGCCAGGCGCGGGGCCGTCGGGCGCTGGCGGCAGAGCGCCGCAGGCGAGCGGCAGCGGCCGTGGACCGCGCCGAGCAGCAGCGGCAAGCTCGTCGAGTGCCTCCGGGAGATTTCCTACGCGCGGCTTCGTTGCGGCCAGCGACCCTGACAAAGTATCAGCAGGCGGTCGCCGACTTCGAGGCCTGGGCCCGGCGCCGGCGTCTTCTCTTTGACGACCCTAAGAACGCCGACACGACAAAGAACCTGTACATCGAGCACCTTTTCTTCTCTGGTTCCCCTCAGTACATGGCTCGCAATGCACTCTACGGCCTTGCTCGACTACGTGGATGGGCAGTGGCCAAGCCTCAATTCGTGCGATCCAAGGACGCCCTGGCGGGCTGGTGCGCCAAGCTGCCTCGGCATCCCAGGATGCCCGCCCCCTTCGACGCCGTGGTCGCCTGCATGGCAGCCCTCTCGGAGCGCTCGCCACTGGGGGCCCTCGCCGCCGTGGCCATGATCGTCCAGTTTGATCTGTACTTGCGGCCCAGTGAGGTGCTCTCCATCACCGCGGGCGACGTCCACGGCAGTGCGGGGGGCCAGGTCTCCGTCATCATCGCGCCTTTCACAGGCGGAGTGCCCCCCAAGACGAATGAGTTCGACCGCGCTGTCGTTGCTGGCACGCCTGTCCCCCTCAGGCGTCAGGTTCCGGCGGCGCTGCTTGCCCTCCGTAGGGGCCGAGCAGACGCGGCCAAGCTTTCTGCTCCTTTGAATCTCAGCGCATACGAGAGGATGGTGCGAGGCGTGGCCTCTGACTTGGGCCTTTGCCACGTTTTCTCCGTGCCTCACCAGCTTCGGCACGGAGGCCCCTCGCGCGATGCCTTAGAGCAATTGCGCAGCCTGGATCAGATCCAGCAGCGAGGAAGATGGCGCGCTCGAGAGTCTGCGCGCATCTATGAAAAGCACGGCTCACTCCTGCGTCAACGTGCGGCTGTGCCCGCCGCCGCCCGCCAGCGCGCTGCCCACTTCACGGCGGCGGACCTGCGGCACCTCGTCTCTCGCGTGGCTTGTTCGAGTCGGGCGCCTAGCGAATATTCTTCTTTTTCCTGTTTCTTCCCAACCCGCCCACCCAATGACAAATGATTTGGGGGTGGGAGCCAATGCTACGCAGTCTGTTCTGGCAATTTGATCCGGGCCCGGGTCCTTTTCCCATAGCTGCCACGCAAGCTCAGCATTATAGTATCTCAAGTGCACCTCGTCCTGTGTAAGGACGCGTCCTCAGAAAAAAGTGGATCGTCCGTCTCAGGTATGTTGAATGGTGGCCGCGCCTAGCTTGAGGAATGATTATCTTTGGATGCAGTTTTCCTCCGCGTCGAGCGGCCAAGCGAGAGGGGCTCCACCCCTTCCTTCTTTCTCCTCTGCTTGTCGCCCCTGCTGCTGCTCTCCCCTCTCGCGGCCATTCTGGTTTCAAGGCTTCCCTCCCTACCCACTTTGGGGAGCCAATGCTACGCAGTCTGTTCTGGTAATTTGATCCGGGCCCGGGTCCTTTTCCCGTAGCTGCCACGCAAGCTCAGCATTATAGTATCTCAAGTGCACCTCGTCCTGTGTAAGGACGCGTCCTCAGAAAAAATGTATCGTCCGTCTCAGGTATGTTGAATGGTGGCCGCGCCTAGCTTGAGGAAGTAATAACGGGAGGGGAGTCTCAGTTCGGGGGGGTCTCTTCCAGGCTATCTTGGAGGGCCTGGGGGGTCTGGGGACGATGTTTTGGAGGCTTCTCCCACGGGGGAGGTCTGAAATGGTTTGTCTTGGAGGGTCCAGACCCCCTCCCTTTTGTCACGAAATCTGGAGTACTGTTTCTGCCATCCGACGTGCTTTTCCAGCCCTCTCTCTTCTCCGCCGCCGGGCGGCGCGAAAGCCGCTTGGAGCCCTCGGCGCGGGGCCAACCGAGGTGGCGCCTGCTGACCACAGTCCGAGGAAGATGCCGCCTGTTTGGGGGGTTGTCCTGGGGCAATCCCGGGGGCATCTTCGGCAGCTTCGAGTCGAGCATCTGGGCAATTCGTCTCCGCTCAGTTCGGGTCAGGTCGGGCCGGACGAAAGGGGGGGATTGGGAAAGGGGGGGTTACGAAATTCGCTGCATGCAGCTGGTTTCGGCCCCGCCGCCAGGCCCATTCCTTGATACATGGGCGCCTCCCGGCGCCATGAGGCGCTGGAAACATCAGCTACGTGAACTGATTCTCTACCCTGCCCTTTGCTATCCCCCCTTTCGCCCGGCCCGATCAGACCTGCCTGCGTGTCCCGTTCCCAAGGGCTTGCTCAAGTGGTGCACGAAAGTAGCGTGAGGAGGGCCTCACAAGAGGTGCTGGTGGCTAGGCCCGGGCAACAAGGAGGCACAGGGGACAGCAACCCTGCAGGCACAGAGGGATCGCCAGTCGTGCCTGGTGGGGCCCCCCGGTCCCTCTTCTGGACGCCCGAAATGGGTACCGAAAGAATGGGTACAATGCCCAACAGCAGTTCCCGTTCATTCTGAATGGGCCCCCGCTGTCCACGCCGCCGCGGCCTGTGTCCATTCGAGACAGGAGGCCGCCGGCCCAACAGCGGCCGTTGTTGCTTTGGGACAACATGTGTTGTTGGGCATCGTACCCATTTTTTCGGTACCCATGTCGGGCCGGGCGAAAGGGGGGGATTGGGAAAGGGGGGGTTACGAAATTTGCTGCATGCAGCTGGTTTCGGCCTCACCGAGGGGCCCATTCCTCGATACGTGGGCGCCTCCCGGCGCGGGGAGGCGCCGGGAAAATCAGCTACGTGAGCTGATTCTCAAACCCCCCCTTTGCTATCCCCCCCTTTCGCCCGACCCGACCATGTCGGGCGTCCGAATCTCTGGAGCCACCTGCCAGTCGGTACAGGACCACGCTGGCAGCAGGAGCAGGGCTGGCCTCCGGGCCGCTCCTCGGCTCCGTGCCGGGCCGCCTGCTCGTGGCCGAGGCCCGCCGTTGCCTGGAGAGCCCTCCCAAGGCGGGGCAGTCCATGTGGCGTCTCGATGGCCTTACTCGCGCCGAGTACGAGTAGGAGGAGGAGGAGGAGGAGGAGGAGGAGGAGGAGGAGGAGGAGGAGGAGGAGGAGGAGGAGGAGGAGGAGGGAGGAGGGAGGGGGAGGGGGAGGGAGGGGGAGGGGGAGGGGGAGGCCCCTCGTCCTCCTCCTCCCCTCCTCCTCCTCCCTCCTCCTCCTCCTCCTCCTCCTCCTCCTCCTCCTCGCCCCCCTCCTTGTAACCCAGGCGAGGGGGGGATTGGGAAAGGGGGGGTTACGAAAGTTGCTGCATGCAGCTGGTTTCGGCCTCACCGAGGGGCCCATTCCTCGATACGTTGGCGCCTCCCGGCGCCGGGAGGCGCCGGGGAAATCAGCTACGCGAGCTGATTCTCAAACCCTATCCCCCCCTTTCGCCCGACCCGATACTCGCGCCGAGTACGAGTAGAGGGCGCAGGAGGCATGGTGTCTTCGGTTCCGGCGACAGTGCCGGGCCGATCTCGTTGGGCGCCCAGGTTCCCGGGTCCCCGGTTCCGGGGTTCCCGGCATTTCAGAGCGGAGTTGAGGCACGATTGTACGCATCATCGAGTAGAGAGCAGAGGTTAGCAGAGAGCGTGAGAGAGAGAAAGAAAGAGAGTGATAAGTAGAGTTGTTTAGACAGGAGAGCGAGTTCAGAATACATATACTTTAATTCAGCAGAGTAGTATCAACGAGAGAGAGAGAGGAAAGGACGGAGTAGAGAGAGAGCCAGAGAGAGAGAGTGAGTGAGATAGAGAGGTCGAGAACATGCTTGCGAACACTGTCGGAAACGCACAGGGATATAGAGAGAGTGAGAGAGAAAGAGTATATCTCAGCGATCACAGAGCAGAGTTGAGGAGAGAGAGAGAGAGGGAAAGAGAGAGAGAGAGAGGAAGAGAAAGAGGTAATCAGAAGACGAGAGAGAGAGAGAGAGACAGAGGGACAGAGAGATAACTATACTAGTTAACTAGGTAGTAGAGAGTAGAGAGTAAAGAGTTCATACTTCCATCCGTAGAAGAGAGAGAGAGAGAGAGAGAGAGAGAGAGAGAGAGAGAGAAAGAGAGAGAGAGAGCGAGAGCGAGAGCGAGAGCGAGAGAGACATACCGATATATCTCTCTATATATATGAATATGTATATATAGAGAGAGAGAGAGAGAGAGAGACAGAGAGAGAGAGAGAGAGAGAGAGAAAGAGGGAGAGGTAGTAGACACCGAGTCGAGATTTTGCACACGGGTGGCTCTGGCGGCGCTCACGGCGGGAAGGCGCGGAGGACCTGCGGAGATCGGAGTCGCATCAGCCTGGCATCCGACTGCGTCCACCGAGCGTCCCCTCGCCGACTTGGCACCCTCGGGGGGGGGCGCGCGCGCGCCCGCGGGCTCTCTCTCTCTGGCCTCTCTCTCTTCCCTCGGGCTTCGGCCCCCGCCCGCCTCCCCGCCCCTGAGCTGGGCAGAGGAGGAGGAGGAGGAGGAAAAGGAGGAGGAGGAGGAAGGAGGAGGAGAGAGGAGAGAGGAGGAGGACAGGAGGAGGAGGAGGAGGAGGAGGAGGAGGAGGAGGAGGAGGAGGAGGAGGAGGGGGAGGGGGAGGCCCCTCGTCCTCCTCCTCGTCCTCCTCCTCGTCCTCCTCGTCCTCCTCCTCGCCCCCCTCCTTGTAACCCAGTGCTTCGCTGCGGGTCTCGTGGGTCGGTGCCGTCGGGAAGCAGAGGCCTCCTTCGCGGTGCCCCCCTCTGCAGCCGCCCCCCGCGCTCGGGCTCCGCGAGGCGCCGAAGGCCCTGAGGCCGCAGTTCCCGGTGAAGCCGGTGGCCAAGGCGGCGCGCGCCGCTGCGAGCCCCTGTCGCGCTTTCTCGAGGTGCCTCCGTCGCTGGGGGCGGGGGCAGCGGCCGCGGAGCGGCAGGAGGGCACCATGAAAGCACGATGTCCGAGACCCGAAGCTTTCTTTCGTATCTAGTACGCATGTACGTACAACCGTTCTGGGTATATGGCTATATATGTTTATGTATATATGTATGTATATATATATATATACATATATATATATATATATACACCAGGGGACGTGGCAAGGGGGGTCCCTCCCAAGGACCTCGCCAGGGCATGGCGAGCCCGGGGCCTTACTTTCCTAATGTTTGTTTTACCGGGTTTCCGCCACCTGGACCCACCAAAGCCCCGGGGGACGTGGCCGAGGGGTCCCGCCCACATCCGAGATGCTCATGACTAGTTTTGGTAGTTATGTTGAAATTGTGGAAGTTAGGTTGGAGTCGTGGAAGATATATGTTCGTATTTGTTTGGCTTGTTTTTTTCTAGAAAATTCACTTCCCCTATGTTAAACCACTATATCCCCTAACTTCCCCCAAATCTTCAACCACTCTAATTCCTGTTTTTTTACAATTTACAAAGCACGCGCTGCGAACACATATTGATTGTTTGGTCAGCCACGTTTTTCCATGTTGTTGTGTTCTGTCTGCCCCACGTATTTGTTTCTCCCCAGCGCTTTGCGATGCCAGCGCTTGCCAAGCGCGTTGCGCAGCATGCGCTTCGCGCCCCTTCCAACCTAGCGCATTCGGGTCCAGTTTGAATTCAATCATGCGTTTCGTGCTTTCATGTATCCAGTTCAATGAAGCGCTTTGCGCTCTAGTATAGAAGCGCGTTGCGCTCCATTCTGGATTTCAAGCGCGCTGCGCTCTATTTCAATTAAGCGCGTTGCGCTCCAGTTGTGTTTCCCGCGCATGTTTCCACGCATAGGCGCCATAGCGTTGTCCTCTTCTCCTCCTTCCTCTCCTCCTCCTCCTCCTCCTCCTCCTCCTCCTCCTCCTCCTCCTCCTCACTCCCACAAGCGCATAGCGCTGCCCACTTCAGCGCGAAGCGCTGTCGCGCGCGCTGCCGCCGTTTTGGCTCGAGCGCGCACGCGCTGCCGCGCGGGGCTATCGACTCGTTATGGGCGGCGTCCGCGGCCCGCAGAGCCAGGCCGAGGGCCGCGACGCCATGGGGGATCTGAACAAGGATCTGCAGGCCCGCCATGGGGCGACAAAGCTGCTTCTGCAGCAGGTCCCAGCGAGTGCGCGCGCTACCGCTTCTGAGGTCCAGGCGAACGCGTTCAGATCGTATGCGAGCTCGGCGGCGGCCGCCCTGAGTTCGACTGAGGCGTCAGACCTGTTGGCGCTCGCATCGCAAGTGGGCTTCGCTGCGAGCGATTTGGCCGTAGTGGTCGACTCGCGGAACGCCGCCGTCAAGAAGAAGGATAAGAAGAAACGGTACCCGATGCAGAATTTCAGCGCGGTTTTCGGCTACTTCACAGAGGCCGAATGGGGCGCCATGTCGAACCGGCGGGGGCGACCGCTAGAAGTCAGGGAGGCCCTCTGCAACCGCATGGCGGCCTGGGGGGCGAGGGCGCCATCGGAGGATGCGAAGCGCATGCTGTCGGCGCGCCTGATCCTGCAGACAGAGGGCACGAAAGCGCGCCAGCCAGGCGAATAATACCCAGGCGTTTCACGCACTCAAAAGCGCCTGGAAAGCACGGGCGCGGGGGCGCAAAGCCCCGTCGAGGTCGTCGACGCGTAGCCGCGCAGCCGCCGCCCCCATCGCAGCGCGAGGAGAAGTACCCTGCGATCTTCGCCCGAGCCTACGCCGACGGGGTGCTGCCAGTTTCGAGCAACATCGGTACTGCGATGATCGAAGCGATGGCCGCTACGTTCAATTCTAGAGGCAACGGGGCGACATCACTTGATGTGTCAATGTCGTATTTGCCTGGCGGCGCCCTGGACCGCCAGTTGCAGAACATGGCGAGCGGCGTCTCGCGGGAGCTCCAGCGGCAATCGGATTGACATGACCGCTTGCCGGATGCAATGATGGCGGGGGGACTCTCGCCCATTGCCGGCAGGCGCTGCGGGTCACCCTTCGGAGGCGCCATGCGCGGCAAACGCCGTCTTCAGATCGACAACGGGCGCGCGCAATTCTGCGCGAGGCGGTCTCGCAGCGATGAGTTCTTCGCCCTCGCTGACGCAAGCGCCGATGAGAGCGGCTGGGGCGCTGATGCAGCTGCGCTTGCGCCGCCGCCTGCGGCTGCGCCTGCGCCGCCGCTTGCGGCCGCTGACGAGCCTGCGCCGCCCCCTGCTGCCCCTGCGCCAGCGCCAGCGCCTTCTGCGATTGATCTTCTGGGGATCATGGGCGAGAGGGAGGCGACGGCGGACGTGAGGGCGGACGGGCAGCCGAAGGTGAATTCGAAGGCGAAGGCGAAGGCGAAGGCGCAGAAGGAGGAGAAGGCGACTGCAAAGAGGAAGGCGGATGCAGCGAATGGGCGCGCCTCGAAGACTGAAGTGGCGTCGGGGGATGAGGACGAGACGGTCGCAACCCCAGGGGAGTCCGTGAAGAGTTAGCAGAACTTGCGCACGCCTGCCACGTCGCTCAAGCACCATGCGCCTGCTAAGCCGAGTCCGGGGGCCAGCAAGGCTCGGTTCGACGCGGGGCACTCGCGCGAGAACACGCAAGTGCGGATTTCGAGAAAAAAAGAACGGCGGGATGCAACGCAAGGGCCTCCGACGGGGGGAAGCGGAGGGCCGCGCGTTCAAGGCGACGGCCGCGGCGACGTCGGCGGCGAGGAAGTTGGCCTCAGACGGGTGCAAGTGAAGCGGGGGGTCAGCGATGCTGGCGGAGCGATCGGGCCGCTGTTGGCCTGCGCCGCGCTGCGCAAGCATGTATAGCGCTAGCGCTGCTTTCCGCCGGCAGGGAAAGTGAGTCATCCCACCTCCCCGCAGCGCTTAAGGTTTAGCGCTTAGCCTGGGCCCTTCGTATCCGATCATCTGATTCCGCGCGCGTCGCGCTCTTTTCCGAGCTCCAGCTCTTCCTCGCGCCTGACCTCTCCTCAATAACCTCCACCCCTTCGCTCCTCCCCACCCCGTTCTTCGTCGCCGCTGTCAGGCGCCATGAGCTCACGAGTGCAGCGCGGTGCGCTCGGGAGGGGTGAGGTCAGGATTACAGCGCAAAGCGCTGGGCAGGCCACGCTGCTGTTCTGCGCCCTTCCAGTGCAGCGCAGCGAGCGTTTAATAGCGCAGGCGCTAAACAGTGTATATACAGCGCGCGCGCGCTAAGTCACTGGCAGGCCTACGGCTGCGCCTCATCTGGATGCGCCTCCGGGGGTTGGGGTTCTCTGCCAAGAGCTGAGCCGGCCATCCTTGTCTGCCCGCGGCACGCTTGGAATTTTGCCTATTGAACCTGCCGCCGCGCTGCTGCCTCTGCTTCTTCTGACGTGGTTATTGGGCTTGTTCTCCACCATCGGCTCCCCCGCCGCCTTCTTCTCCGCGGTACTGCGGTGGCATCATCGGCATCTGTGCAGCCTGATGACCTTCCTCCGAAGACGTCGCCCAGCACGCGCGCATCAGCTCATGCGCACGCGCCCATGTCTCAGCATCGCCCGTGCGAAGTCCGTCCTGCAATAGCCCCCACTTGCCTGGAGGGACCCATTGCCTCACCCACTCCAAGTTTGAAGGTGTAGCCGCGTTCCACTGCCCAGTCGCCTGCCAGGCCTGGTATCGATGCCATCTGGCTGCAGCCTCAAGCGCCTTAGCCTGCTCCTGATGCCAGCGCTGCCACTCGGATGCATTTGCAGTTGGCTGCCTGGTTGCCATCTGCTTGCTCTTGTGTCGCAGGCCCAGTACTGGGCCTTGTCCACGGGCACCTGCAAGTGCTCATCGGCATGCTCCTTCCGCTCGCTGCCCACGCGGCCCGCGGGCCCCTTGACCTCCGGCGCCTGCTGCTCATGATCCCACCCCGAGCGGAGCCACTGCTGATTATGCTTCCACTCGTCCGCGGGCCACTTCTGCTTCTGCGCCTGCTGTTCCTCATCCCACTTCCAGCTGGGCCACTGCTCCTTTTCGTCCGCGGGCCGCTTCTGCATGTCAGCCTGCTGGCGCGGGTCCACCGCGTCGCACCGCCGACGATGCTGCTGCTTCCGCTTCTCGCCCTGCGCCTCGCCACACTGCTCGTCCCACTTCTCGTCCTGCGCCTCGCCCCACTGCTCGCCCCCCTTTTCGTCCTGCGCCTCGTCCCACTGCTCGCCCCGCTCGTCCTGCGCCTCGCCCCACCGCTCGCCCCGCTTCCCGCCCTGCGCCTCGTCGTCCCGCACCCGCTGGTCATGGTGGCGCGCCCGGCCCTCGTGGGCCCACTTCTGCTCCGAGACTGGGTCCTGCTTCGACGGCTCGCGCCATGCTTTCGCACCCTGCGCCTCTGGTGCGCGACTGGCCAGTTACTCGGCCAGCTTCTGCTGCAGGGGTGTAGGCGCGAAGTCCTGCGGCTTCACCTTCTACTTCAGCTGACCGGCTCGAGTCGTGAATTCTCCCCTCGTTGACATCGTGGCTTCGATTTTGCGCAGCGCATCGTTCGTCATCGAATTCTCTGCTTTCCTGTTCTGCAGGCTCTGCGTGCTCTCGGGTGCTGGTCCGAGCGTCGCGGGGGCGCTCGCAGGCCTCGGTAAAGGTGGGCGGCGTTGCCTTGTTTCGGGGCCCGCGGTAGAGGTGGGCAAGCGTTGAGCGATGCCACCAGCTCAGCACAGCTTTTGTCAGCCTGACCAGAATGGGCCGCGAGAACCTCCATCGCTGCAGCGAAGGTCGCTGCCGAGGCCGCGTGCCGAGCCAATCGCAGTCGGCGGGCTGAGCCAAACGCGACGTCTACGGAAGAAATGCAATGTTACCCGCGAGTAGGGGAAGAATAACTCGCGAGATTAATAACCTGACCCGCGTGCCCCTTAGGGAGGGGGCTCCCGCGTGAGACTTCCTCGCGCTGCACGCATGGCTGCGTAATGAGTGAATGAATGAGT